GGGGCTAGTAGGTTCTTTGTCGGGCTGTTCCGTGATCTCAGTTGGTTCATCGGATGGTTCATCGGGGTGGTTTGTGATCTCGGGTACTCCTGTTCCTCCTCCATGCTCTGCAGCTCTGTCTCTTGGAAGTGAATTTGATGGGATCTCATGGTGCTCTCTCCTTGTATTAAATCCATTCTCCTCTGTATGGCCCGCGTCCTCATCCAATGTGTTATCTTTTTCGTTTTGTTTCCCTTTAACAGGCTTCGCGGAGGGAAAATTATCTCCAACTGTTGCATCAGGAATAATTTCCTTCTTCACATTTTCAGCTCCAAGCGGGACGTCAACTTCTTCAACCTTCTCCTAAACAGACTTTACCTTTTTCTTTTTAGCGGCCATTTAGTAGATGTTTTCCAAACTCAGCTCCATCAATTTTTTTCTTGGAAAAGCAGGAACAAGAGATTTGCATCAAGTAACGCGCGTTTTCCCGGAAACTTCAGCTTGGTAACCACTCGTTACGCTTCCTTTTCTAAGGGTTTATTTGATTGAAAAAAACTTGTCGCGATTCGTGGCTTCAATATGGCGAAACGTGGGATGTTTTTGCTGTTTATCGTGTTGTGTCTTACTCCAGGTCGAAAGGCATTCATCATCGAAAGTTGCGTCGGGACTGCTGTGTTTGGATCTTTGGCTTATGTGGCGCCAAAAGTTTGGTGTCGTTTTAAAGAATGTTGCACAGATAGATGGATCGCGGCGAACATCACAGGTCTGCAATCAGCTTTACGCCGACGCGTGTTTGGACAGCATTTAGTCACCGAGACAGTGCTCAAGGCAATAGTTGGACATCTGAATAATAAATCACCGAGCAAGGCCTTGGCGCTCTCTTTTAACGGCTGGACTGGATCTGGGAAAAACTTTGTTAGCAAGATCATTGCAGAACATATTTTTAGGGAGGGGATGGAAAGTAAATTTGTCCATCAAATCATTGCCACACATGACTTCCCACACCGGTCGGAATTGGAACGTTATAAACGACTTCTGCGTAGTTTGGTTTCTAGTTCAGTGTCACAGTGCTCAAGGTCACTGTTCATTTTTGACGAAATGGATAAAATGCCGATTGGTCTCATAGATGTACTAAAGCCCTACTTAGACCACTACCCTGATGTTGGCAAAATTGACTTCCGAGGAAGTATTTTCATATTTTTGAGCAATACGGGAGGACATCTGATCAATGACGCAGTCCTCCGACACTGGAAAGAGGGAAAAGTGAGAGAAGGCATTGGTATTAAAGAGATGGACAAGGTTGTTAACCTTGGCGAGTTTAATACTAAAGGTGGTTTCTGGCATTCATCGCTCATTGAGAAAAATCTTATAGATTATTTTATCCCATTTTTACCTTTGGAGAGATCTCACATTAAAATGTGCGTTAAAGTAGACTTGGAAAAGAAAGGACATCCAGTTACTGAACAAGTCCTCAACAGCATTGCAGATGAGCTGTTATACTTCCCAGAAGACTTAAAGGTCTTTTCACAGTCTGGTTGTAAGAAAATATCGAGCAAAGTGGACTATATCATGCTTTAGATTTAGGCAGTGGTGTTGGCTAATTATAGCGATAAATAGTTTTTCTGAATAGAGTAACCCAGGCTTTCTTAAAAGACATTGAACACTCACCACCTAACTAGGCTAAGAAAATTTTGTGTTAATTGTTTCTAAAAGCAAGCATGCTCTGGTAGCCTGCAAATGCAGGTCTGTTTCCGGTCGGCACTTCTCTCCAACTGAAAACTAAACTGTAATTGGTGGAGAGAAGTGATGACTGTAAATACATGTACGTCTTCATTGGGTTATTCCAGAAAAAATCCACACCCCCATGACGGAAGGCACGTTTTTTTGATGCCCCCTTCCACCTTGAATTCCAAAACTGCATGAGTCCTCCCTCCCCTCAGGATTTCCAAGTTCAAAGACCCCCCACCAATCTGGTTTCCATGAAACTGTTAGATACTGCAATTTTGATTTACACGATGTATAAGATTCTTTTAGGCATTTAGATGATCTTTTATTAAATAAGCCTCAATTCTCCTTGATTTCTCTGTTTGTTGTGAAAGTTATGATAATTTATATTTTCATATAAAAGGCTTACACATTTTGCAAATAAGCTCACATTTGAGTGAACTTCTCTTTTTTCCTAGACCAGGCAAAATATACTACAATACAGCTCAAAACTAACTATCCTGAACTATGTACTCCAAAAAAAGGTTCTCTTCTTTGTTGAGAAACAAGAGTCACCGAAAGGTGATTTTGACTGGGCTGCCAAGGGGCAATTTTTTCTGAGAGGCCAAGGGGAGAGGGTGGCCGTATGCACTCATTGTACCCTTTTGAAAGACTTTTGTAACAAGAAATATGAATACAATCTAGATTTCCAGAACTGTTAACCCCCTCTCCCGTGAGATTTTCCAGCATGCCTTCCGTTGTTGGGGTGTGGATTTTTTCTGGAATAACCCATTCACAGGCTAATCCACTGAATGCCTGGACACCTTTTTGGCTAAAACCTTCAATTATCTTAATAAATAATTAATGTCAAGAAAAGTGGACATTGCTAAGTCTAGTTTCATCAGAAGTTTCAAGATAAAGCACTGGCAATACCTCCCCTTTCCTTCTCCAAAATACAAAATATGCTGAAGTCCAACAGGATATTTTCAGCTCTTGACCAGGGTGGGGTGGGGCGAGGGGGTCATTGCATAGGATTCATTATCCCCAGTATTGGGGTTCTGTGGTTAAAGTGCAAAATTCTTATGACTTTTTGCTTGACCTTGTTGGAAAAGGAACTTAGGGCCTTGAATCTCAGCGACAAGATTGATGTAATTATTTTATTTCAGGTGTTACACTAAGGACAGTGACAAATGCATTAGCCAGGCTGCTCAGTAGAGGAGTTGTCAGTGAGCACATAAGACTGTTTCTTAGGCCAAGGTAACTTTTGTACGCCACAAAAAACTAGGAAGATACCTCTAGCTGTCTGATCTATTGTAAAACGTATTATAACGGTTTTTTGTACACTAAAGAAGGGTTGTACATTTTCTTAGTAACCTATGAAAGCAAGAACAATTTGGTTATGACGTAGCGTATGCCCGCCCGTCCGTACACACACTTCATGTAAGCGGATGCCAGATGTCAGGTTATTTTGGCGGGAAAGCATATGGCCAGCCCCTTCTTGTGAAGCAGAGACAACTAAAGAGTCAATAAAGACGAAAACGGAATTTGAAAAATGTTTCTGTGTCCGTGTTGTCTTATAAAGTATTAAGCTTAGATTAATTGTCGTGTCCACAAATTTGGAATATAGAGAAAGAGAAAGACAGAAAAAGAGAAAGTATGGGTATGTCCCGCCCGGGACTCCAAATTGTATTGGCACCTCCTTCTAAAAAAATTTCCCCCTTGGGACTGCTGTGTTAGCGGGATCTTTGGCTTATATGGTGCGGTATCGTTTTACAGAATGTTGCACAGATAGATGGATCTCGGCGAACATCACAGGTCTGCAGTCAGCTCTACGCCGACGCGTGTTTGGACAGCATTTAGTCACCGAGACAGTGCTTAAGGCAATAGTTGGACATCTGAATAATAAATCACCGAGCAAAGCCTTGGCGCTCTCTTTTAACGGCTGGACCGGATCAGGGAAAAACTTTGTTAGCAAGATCATTGCAGAGCATATTTTTAGGGAGGGAATGGAGAGTAAGTTTGTCCATCAAATCATTGCCACCCGTGACTTCCCACACCGGTCGGAATTGGAACATTATAAACGAATTCTGCGTCGTTTGGTTTCTGGTTCAGTGTCACAGTGCTCAAGGTCGCTGTTCATTTTTGACGAAATGGATAAAATGCCGATCGGTCTCATAGATGTACTAAAGCCCTACTTAGACCACTACCCTGATGTTGGCAAAGTTGACTTCCGAGGAAGTATTTTTATATTTTTGAGCAATACGGGAGGACATCTGATCAATGACGCAGTCCTCCGACACTGGAAAGAGGGAAAGAAGAGAGAAGAAATTGGTATTAAAGAGATGGACAAGGTTGTTAACCTTGGCGAGTTTAATACTAAAGGTGGTTTTTGGCATTCATCGCTCATCGAGAAAAATCTTATAGATTATTTTATCCCATTTTTACCTTTAGAAAGATCTCATATTAAAATGTGCGCTAAAGTAGACTTGGAAAAGAAAGGACATCCAGTTACTGAACAAGTCCTTAACAGCATTGCAGATGAGTTATTATACTTCCCAGAAGACTTAAAGGTCTTTTCACAGTCTGGTTGTAAGAAAATATCAAGCAAAGTTGACTATATCATGAATTAGATTAGACAGTGGTGTGGGTTAATTTATAGAGATAAATAATTTTTCTGAATAGAGTAACCCAGGCTTTTTTAAAAGACATTGAACATTGGGTGTTTAACTAGGCTAAGAAAATTTTGTATTAATTTTTTTCTAAAAGGAAGCATCTTCTGGTAGCCTGCAAATGTAGATCTGTTTCCGGCCGCCACTTCTCTCCAACTGAAAAGTAAACTGTTATGGATGGAGGGAAGCGATGACTGAAAATAAATGTACGTCTGCTTTGGGTTATTCCAGAAAAAATCCACACCCCCATGATGGAAGGCACGTTTTTTTCACCGCCCTTCCACCTTGAATTGTGAAACTGCATGAGCCCCCCCTCTCCTCAGGATGTCCAAGTTCAAAGACCCCCCACCCATCCGGATTTCCATGAAATTGTTAGATACTGAAATTTTAATTTAATACACGATGTTTAAGATTCTTTTAGGAATTTAGATGATCTAGCTTTTATTAAATAAGCCTCAATTCTCCTTGATTTCTGTGTTTTTTGTGAAAGTTAAGATAATTTATATTTTCACATAAAAGGCTTACACATTTTGCAAATAAACTCACATTTGAGTGAACTTTTCTTTTTTTCTAGACCAGGCAAAATATACTACAATACAGCTCAAAACTAACTATCCTGAACTATGTACTCAAAAAAAAGGTTCTCTT